GTTTCGTCAGCCATTGGGCCAATCAAATCAGCACTGTCGACAAAATCACCTACCGTATTTCGACAGCCAGCACCCTCAAGCGTTTTCTTCCCTTCCGCTCCGTGACGATACTGGTGGGTGTCCTAATACTCGTCGTGTAGTTCTTTTTCATACCATGAGCCTCGATTCTCATCTTTTCTGCGAAAGTTTGGAGGCTGAATTTACGCTTTCATTCGAATGCTTACTGAACACGTGGGAGCTTGAGGCCCAAGCTAAGGCGTGCTGAGCTTTTGAGTTGGAATTTCACCTTGTCCTAACTAATAAAACACTGGAGTCATCACGGATTCTGTTTCCTTAGTCCTAGAAGAGCCTGGTGCTGAGCGAACACTATATTTTGCCTAAATTGATGCGCCTCATAAATGCAAAATTGAATTTATTTTCTAGCCATACACGCATAGATCTGTTGGAGAAAGCATATTCCCCATTAACTTCCCCTGCTCTCTAGGATTTCCAGGAATTACTCTTACAGGATTTTTCAACAGGCCCAAAAATTTGCTCCAAACTAGTGGCTGCTGTCTTCCAATGTTTCTTTCAGAAGAAACCAAAATCTCCTGTAATGTGTGTGGGAAGATTTTCAATGCTCAGTACAATCTCAACCGACACATGCCGGTTCACACTGGTGTCAGGCCATTTGAGTGCAAGGTATGGTAATTTGTGTTTCCAAAAACTGTTAAAGAAGGTCAAATGAGAAAGCGTCCGGCATTGGTCGAACCCTTTTGAGATGCGCCACGCATTCAATTCCCATTCAGAATCGCAGTGGTACTTTTGAATATGATTTGACTTTATCACGTTGACGACCGCCGTTATGCGCGCACTGCTTCAACATTTTTCGTATTCTCTCATCAATAGGCATTAATCCTTCAGCGTTTTCATTATCAGTAATGAAAAAATGTTTTTCGGATCCAATAATGTACATGGACCGTTGTGGAACAGAAAGAAACGCCAAATAAATCAAGAAAACTAGTCTGCTTCATGTGAAAGTGCCACACGGTCGTCAAAGTGTTATATAATACAATGACTTGTGGGAGCCGGTCGACTTGGAGAGTTTTTCCTTCCACACAACTATCGAGCGGCGGAAGTGGTGTAGTGGCAAGTGGCACGCTTATCAGGCACGCGGTTCAGGTATCGACTCCTGGGTCGTGCTTCATGCAGGCGAACCACGCCTTGTCCCTACGGGGATGGATAACTGGTACATTGCTCTATAGAACAGTTGTTCGACCTATTCTCACCTTTATTTCGCCTTTTTGAGAAAATATATTATTCTTATCTGAAAAGGCACCTCTCCATCGATTTCCTAACTCACCATCCTTCAGATTTGTGGAAAATCATTTCGGCAAGCGTCCACTCTTTGTCGACACAAGATTATTCATACAAAACTCAAGCCGCATACGGTATGAATTTATTGATTGGTTTCAGATCTTATCTTTTTCTTTTTTTGCTTGCACTACGGTGATCACCGTTGGAGGACTATCAGTCGCAGTGATCGTTCTAAAGATAGCCAGGAGAGAAAAAGAGTGGGATTAACCGTGAAAAAGTTAGGCTATAGGTAAAAAAATTGCGGGGTGCTGGCATATAGGCTGGCGGTTCAAATTAAACTAGATCAAGAAACTGAAAAAGGCCTTGAGAAGACCTATCATCATCTTAGGATAGGAGACTTCAGAAGAGAAGCACTCTAGAAGACACTGGCCGCCCAGGCGAAAGGAAAAAGGGGATGAGAGATCACGGCGGGAACGAGTCAGCAGACACCGCAACGGTGGGCGTGCCTGGTTGCTTGAGGTGTCCGGCCGTAAGTTTTAAGCCTCTAGCTCCCTTTCGAGTCATGAAAAGTGGCCCCTTTATGAACGATGTTGCGGCACACGAGATCCTCTCTCAATGCGGGCTGTGCCTTTAATGAGCTGAATGGTTTATGTTCGTATTCTCCCTGAGAGACCTCTGACGTCGAACACATAGTCATGACCCTTACAAGAATCGATTTCGTGGGTGCGTTTTGATGCTCTTGATGTTGACGCCGCGTGAAGCCACGCAATGAATTCACAATAACCACATTCATGACCTTCCCTTCAAAAAGCGAGAAAGTGTCGGGTGCAGATCAAACACCACAACTGACGACGGCCTCCAAGTAAATCTGGTTAGAAGTTGTTCATAGTGATAGCTGATTTCTGGTAAATGATAGTTGTAATTAGTGACAATCGATAGAATACAACTGCAACAGGCTAATCATTTCATTGGCAGAAAACATTAACATTTTGTGGAGGCCGTCGTCACTTGTGGTGCATGGTCTGCACCCAACACTTTCTCGCTTTTTGAAGGGGAGTACCTGGTTCGCTTATATGGCAGCAACGTGTTCACGAGAGTGTGGTGATTCTTAGACACCTACAGGTTATTACTTCTCCCATTCCCATTCAAATGCTTGTGCAACGAAAAGTAGGAGACAAGCGCGTGGCTTGTCATTGGGTACTTGATTTTGGCCTGAATTGTTCATGAGCGACTCTTTAATGCTTTGGATCTCTGACATCCTAGTCTATTCTCTTTGTGCTTCCCTCATCTTTCTGAATTTGTTATAAAAGCGGCCTCATTTTCCAACTTTGTTCTTTCAAGGGCGAGTAATTCCAGTGTTATTGGCTCCGAATGTATGGGTAAAGTTTCGCATGTGAAAGCCTATTCACAAAATGGCCTGGGTCTGTTAAACTCTTCGCCTCAGGCGGGAGTCGAACCCGCACCTATTCCCACCTGGGCGAACAATTTAGCCTACATTTCTTGCGACAGCTTTCGCACGGTGGGCTGCAGACAGGAGTTATCAAAAGGGACTTATGAAACATGTGAAGAGTTTCTGAAGATCGAATATTATCGTCGCAATAGCCCATTACAACTTGCCCATCGTAAAGGATCAAACTAGGGTCGTCACCTTTCTGTCTTGTTGTAGTAGTAGCGAGTGCGGCTGGTTTTCGATGTTTCGGTTTGTTACCCATTCCCGCTTCAAAGAAGTCGCGAACGGTTTGAATAAGAGCTATAACCTTGTAGATGAGTCAAGTTACGTCAAGCGTCGGCCAGTGTCATGTCAAATGCTCTGATTCTGCTTGAAGCGCTCACGTCACCTTCACCGTCACCATTGCCACCCTCTGCCCCCCGCTATGAATAGGCGGATTTACTCGAGTGTGGCGCTAATCGGCACTCCTCGATCGCTACCGTACGCGAATTATTCAGCGAGGTTACTTCGGGGCTCACACTTCGACGCTGGCATTATAGTAGCCTGATATAAATAGAACCAGTGATCAAGGACACAAATTTTGCAAACTAGATCACGTAAATTGAGAATGACCTTCAGAAAGGGAATATTGGTGTTTTTTTGATACTGGTGAAGTAACAGATAAGAGAATATGTGAAAGATCATCAATAAATGGGCCCAACGGTCTGTTAACCGAGTCTCAAACAGGCGAAGTAACTTTTCAGTGTTGTGGACTCGATTTTTAATAGAGTTTTTGAGTGGAAGGATATGCACTGAACATGGGTGAATCCTACTAAAAAACATTCCTAAAAAATGATACATTAGTTACTGAGAAAAGTTTCGGCAAACGCTTTTAAGTGTTCTTTTTATGGAGCAGGACTAAAAAGAGACATTTTGCTCATGTCGCCTTCATTAATTCGGCAACTGTAGCCGCCGTTGAAGGAGGTCAGCCCATTCCATGAATGTCCCTCTATAAGTAGGCGCAAGCCCTCCTTCATTGCCCTCAGAATGTGACGTCATCTGCCATCGTCGAAGTTTTCTGGAACGCTGATTCAAAAGGGGCTCGCATAGTCAGAGCTACTGTCCTAGAAGGTTATCCATCAGTTGACGTTTGAAAAAATTCAAAAAAAATCTGCAGCAGCTCCAGGCAGGGGTAATTACGGTCGGCTTTGAGCTCAAGAAAACCTAGGTACTGTAATTGCTCCAGCCTGAAGCTGCTGCATAACTTTTTCAAATTTTTTCCAAACGTCAACTGATGGATAGCCTTCTAGGGGCAAGTAGCTCTGACTATGCGAGACCCTTTAGAACCAGCGTTCGAGATAACTTCGGCAATAGTCTGCGATGCGCCGAGAACCTTGCCGAGCTGGAACCAGGGAGCATGGGCCCGTGGTAAATTCATGTGATATCGCTCGTGTAGAAGCCTGACACGAGGTTTTTTCATAGATCGGAATGTGCTCTTCAATTTTCATTTGGAAAATTTGGTTTGAATTCAGCAGAGTAATTTCCGTTTTACAATGTGGAAGCAGAATGACTACCCCCTAGATACAGTAACAATACGATATAGAAAACTTATAACCTCTATATTTTACAGTGCGCGACATGCGGAAAGAGTTTCAATCGGTCGTCTACGCTCAACACGCATATTCGGATTCACCAAGGTCAGTGGCTCTATCCATAAGTCCGGTCCCTGGGGTGGTTCAAAAAGTCCCAGACGAGAAGAATGGGAATCATTCCCGAGTTTCATCCTTCGTGGAGATCTGCAACTAGACCTCAA